CGCCCCGCGTACACGTGCCCTGCCCGGTGCCGCCCTCCGCGGCAGGCCCGGGCACACGCCTCCTCCTCCCCTGCCTCCGGCCCTGCCATCTTCCCCACGTGCCCTGCCTGCCCGCACGGCCGCGGGCCCTGCACACGCATGCACGTACACATGCATACAGGCGTGTAAATGCACACATGCATGCCGCGCGTGCCCTTGTCTTCTGGTGCACTCTCGTCCCGGTGCCCGCACGGTGGCTTCAAGTCACGCTCTGCCGGCACCGCTCCCAGAAAGCATCAAACTCCCGCCTTTTCCTTCCTGGCTGCCCTCGCCGCCGGGGCTGCCGGCACGCACTGGCCCGCTGATGCCTGGGGAAGTCTCTCTGCCTGCGCCGGCATTCCTGCCTGCATCAGAAAATGCGTTTGTAGGCAGGCTGGTGTCCTCTGAAGGCATTTTCCTCCAGAATCGCCCTGCAGTGGCGAACACTGGCGTGGGTGAGAGTTGGGGAGCCCTTCCCGGTGCTGCCAGTGGGAATACGGTGCAGCCCCGCGGTGACACGTCCGCGGGTGTAACCCAAGCCATGAGCACTGAGCCGGGATTAGGAGGGAAGTCTTTGGGAAAGCGCCTGTTTTGTAGTATTGTCTGTGAGGGTTAGGTCGCAGGTGGGTTTGGCTCCTTCCTGGGGTCAGTAGATCCTTGTTGCTCTTTTTTTTTCTTTTTTTTTTCTTTTTTTTTTTAATAAGGGCCCAAACTTTGCAAGCCACTCCATGCAGATATCTTGTTTCCTGGTCACGTGTGCCGACAGGCGCGGGGCCGGAGTACGGTTTGTAAAGGACTTCAGGATGTTTTGGGATGAGAAGGGGCTTTTTGGAAACTGTGGGCTGGGAGAGAAGACAAAAAACTGGGGTTTATTATCACTTATCGCAGCATTTAAGGTCTCTTATAGGGTGGACTTTGCGATCCAGGTTGCTGATCTGTGGTTTGGTGGTCTGTGGCAGGAGTTAGGCTAGATTTAAAGGAACCTATCAGCATTTTTTCCTTAAAAAAAATGGGGAAAAGCGGGGTGTGCTGTAACTGCACATTCTCTGGGGAGGGGATTTGCGCTGGTCGTCCTGGTTTGCGCAGCACTGTGGGCGCAGGAGCTGCCTTTCTCCCGGCAAACCCCGGACAAACAGCAGTCGGTTGAATGCCGGAGCACCCTCTCTGCTTTGCCACGGCCCCCCAACCTTCCCCGCTTGCTAAATGAAACATTCCGTGTTTGCTAAACGAGGCGCCTGCTTTCCCAAAACATCCACCCGAGCTTTGCTCTGCCGGCAGCAGCAGCAATGCCGGTAGGCATAAGGGCTGACGTTTTTCCCCGGCGAGAGCTGGAAAAATGCCGTCCAAAATACACGCCCGGCATTGAAGCAAGAAATAATTTGGGATCTGTGCCGGCTCTGACCCCTGCGGCGCGTGATTGCTAACAGCTGGGAGGGCTTGCAGAGGCAGCGTGGCCTCCCGGCTCCGCCTGCACCGCTGACGCCCTCCCAGCTCTCGCTCCTCTTCTTGCTTTGTGTTTTGGGGCACAGGGCGGGGGGAGGATTTTTAGGCGTTGGTGTGTCACCCTCGGCTATGGGCTGAGCGCCGAAATGGGATCCGGCATTCAGAGGTCTGCTGGAAGCAGATGTGGCTCTGAAAACTGGCTCTTGGGAGGGTTTTCCTTTCCCCTGGTTGCAGTCACACCTCTCTCCTCCTTCCCGCTCCCGCCCCGGACCGGAGGGGGAAGGAGAGGGAAGGTGAAACGAAACCCCAAAGGAAATGAGAAGCAGCCTCCCACCTTCGGCGCTGCCCTCCCCATACCTGGCTGCCGGCCAAGCAGTGCCTTGAAACCGGCGTGCACGGACTGTCGGGGAGGCGGCAGAGATACGGCGCTGTGTTCTACACGGTGGGAGCGCTGACGTTGCCACATCGATTCCCTGAGCCCTTGGAGGGGCAGTTCCCAAATCCCTGTGCCCGGGATATCCAAGAGTGAGGTTTTAAGGAGATGCGGGAGGAAATGTGGTCTAGTGGTTAACTCCTGTGGTGAGATGGAGGGGCTTTGCTGCAGCTTCGCTCTGGGATTTGAGGCAAACTGCCGTGTCGTTGTCGCCAGCCCTTTTGGTCTCCTTTTGGATGAGAAAGTCCCGTATGGGTATATGGGAGATTTGGGAGCAGAGCTACTTGGCCAGGTCACTTGCGTTCATCAGAAAATACGTTGCACCGTGGAAAAAAGACATTATCAGGCAGAGTGGGCTCCGGAGCATCCCTCGGTGATACCCATACACTGCAAAGTCTGGCGTGTTCCTTGGGCAGGGCGAGATGAGAGGGAAGCCGGGGGAGCGGCTCTGCTCAGTCAGTGCCGCGGCCTCTTTGATCGGGCTCCAGAGGGAAGGCGATGACGGTGGTGAAGTCCCCGTGCGCTGCGGGACGGGCAGCCCCGACGCGAGGTGCTCTCCCCAGCATGCCTCTATCCGTTTCGCACCCTATCCCTCTTCCTGTTCTATTCTTTATGGCTCCTAAGTAGCTGTTAATTTTCTACTCGGGGGCGGCAGGATTTTGGAGGAGGACAAAGCCAGCTGAGTGCATACAGTTATTCATAAAACAGCTTGTAAATCTTGGGCGTCCTTTGAAGCAGGAGGTGGTTTGGAGTAACCCTTCCTGGGACAGTCGGAGGTCAAGAGCAGCAGCAAGCTCCCCTTCCCTTCCTTGGGAAACTTTTCTCATCTGAGATAGCGTGCAAGACAGCACTGCATGAATCAGATGTAAAAAAAAATAATAAATTTGATCTGCTGTTAAAATGACACTGCTTCATGACTGGGAACTGAGCATCTCTTAGCGACCCTGAACGAGGAGGGGAGGGTCTGGGTGTGAGCACCCGGCGGCTCAGGGTTAATCCTCCCTCCTGCACAAGCAGCAGCTCCTCGGATTTGGACTCTCCATGAGCCAGGTTATGCTCTAACCCAGACACCCAATGAACACTCATAGCCCTCGGCTGGTCGGGTGACACTCTCTGACAAACCCAGGCAGGGTGACAGAGGTGATGGGTTTGTTGTGGTATAAAAGCTTGTGGCTTTTATGGTGCACCCCAAGATGCAGGACTGCCCCAAGCCTCTTGCCTCCTCTCCCTCCTCCTGAACCCCAGGCACTGTCACCCTTCGGCCTTGCCACAGTGTGCATCCTTGCTTCTTGTGCTTTTCGGAGAGGGTGTTGCAGCAGAGGAGATGTTGGGAGGAGGACGGGACAGAGCAGGACAGCGTGTGCTGCTAGAGCTGTTGGATTTATTGGGGCTGGATGCGTCACCTGTCCCCATGCCTGGGTGTCCCTTGCTTTTAAGGAAACCTGTAAGCTCTTTTTTCTTTTAAAACAGCAGTAAAATCTACAAACCCAAAGAAATAAGCCAGGCAAGCCGCTCTCTGGATAGGCTTGCTAGCAGAGCTACACCAACACGAGGAAAACCTATGTCAGAGGAAAGGGGAGCTATTTGGGGGGGGCAAAAATAGGTTAAAGATAGTGACAGAGAAACAGTTTAGGATAAAAATGCTCCAAACTCTTCCTTTCCTAACAAAGCAGGGCAGGAGGATGCTCCCATTTCATTGCCAGACTGACCGTGGGAGGACTGGGCATGAGCTGCAAGCTTGGAGAAACCTCTCCCAAAAGCACGAGAGCTCCTGGGAAGGGGAGCATCGGGGTGCTGGATGAGAAGGGGTGCTGGCTTTCACTGCCAGAGAGCTTTCCTCCCCTGCCGAGGCGCGGGCAGGGGAGTTGCAGGACTGTGCTGGGCACAGGCCCAAGTCTAGAGGTCAAGGTTCAAGAGCACCAGCGGCGGGTTTCAGCGTGACGGGCAGGAATAGCCGTGGTGGCCTCGGGAGCGTGTGCCCGCAGCAGCTTGAGAGAGGGACATGGGGTTTCCTTTGGGCTGGCTCCTCCCCCCTTTTTTTTTTTTTTTTTCCCCCCAGGGGGGTTTAGAAATGACTGTAAAGACATTTGCAGCATGGGGGGAGCTCAGGCACACCGCTGTCCCACGTCCCTAAGGGGTCTCAGTGCCTGGGGATGCTGGAGCAGCAGAGAGCTGCTTTCTTGGCTCCCAGGGTGGCAGTGGGGGGAAGACACCGGTTGAACATTGTGGTCCTGCACCAGAGGTAACATCCCCGTGTCTTTCTCTTCCGCAGTGTGTCCGAGATGGCGAGCGTGCTATCCAGGCGTCTGGGGAAGCGCTCCCTGCTAGGCACCCGCGTCTCTGCCCCCAGCGCCTTGGCTGACGGGGTGCTGGTGGCCACCCAGGTTCCCAGCTTGCAGACTGACCTTGGCCAGGCATCTGCCCACACAGTGCCGCGAGAGGATGGATCCTGTGCACCGTCAGCAGAGGAGAGCAGCCAAGCACCCAGGTTCCCCAGCCCCGGCCGCCGGCAGCTTTGTGCCGGGCAGCAAGTAAGTAAGGAGACTCTTGGTGTCCTTGGCTGTGCTCTGGTGGGTAGCTCCAGTGGGGAATAAAACTCCTGGGCCTCTACTAATGTAAGGTGCAGTGGGGATCTATAATTACCAAGAGCCGTTAATGGGTGTTGGCATTAGTGCACTTGGCCCTGGCCATGCCTCATGGATTTGGACCATACCGGCTCAGGCAGAGATTGGTCTCCTCCAGGAGATGTCTCCAATCCTAGCCAAAAGTGGGTCTCCAGAGAAGACAGTAAGAATATCTGACGTGTCCCTCCAGAGTTCTCCAACTGTCTGAGGCTGAGGGAGATGGTTCCTATATATTTAGTGACTCTCAGTGGAATTCTTTTCCATTAACTTGTCCTGTCTCCCCATAACCCACATTTACATCTGAAGGGGAGTGGCAAGGAACCCCCCAGCTTAGCCACGATGGTGATGAGCCTCATGGCTCAGTCCTCGGAGCTCAGCCTGCAGCAGCTTTTTGCTACAGGGTTGAGGGTCGATGGTGTGGATGTATGTGGTGAAGAAGCTCTTAGGAAAGAGTGAGGTGCGATGGCTCATCTGGAAGGGACATCTAGTCCTGCTGGATCCCTCCATTTCTTGTGCCCCGGGCTTCCGATGCTTAGGAAGGCCTTGCCTTGGCCAGGATGCTGCCTGGGGCAGGGAGCAGCACTCGTTCTCCATCCCACCGGCACAGTTCCTATTAAGGCCAGGCCAAATGGCACTGTCTGAGGAGAGCTGTGACCTGCTGACGTAGAGCCTGTTTCTTGGCTGCTACCTGCAGAACTGTAAAACCTTTTCTGGGCAGAGCTTGTGAAATGGAGTGTAAATAAGGCCCCTGTTTGGTTTTCTGGCTTCTTCTGCCCCATGTTTGTTAACCGCAGGACGGCAAGAGTTATTTTCTCCTACGTGCTCCACTGCAGAGGATTTTGCTCCCTTACTTTGCTGCTGGGAACAGCATAAAAATAGTGATGGGGTGCATTCACCTCCCAGTGACAGTCGGTGGCTGTGCAAAGCCAAAGGAGATGTTGGCTACTCATGCTGTGTGCAGTCTAGAGGGGCGACGGCCCACGTGGTTCACAGAGAAGCCTTGCCCCTTGTTTTCAGAAAGCAAGATCAGGGTCTTCTCTGTCCTGATCCTTGCACTGATCCCCTTACCCCTGGTCCCGCTGCGGGTGGCTTTTTCCACTCTGATGTTTCTGCTGGAGGTCCTACCTGAGACAGTCTCGCAGGCCGGCCTGCATATGGGTGCACGTGTCCATCCTGTATCGGCTTCTTGGTATGACACCCATGGCACTTCCATAAAGAGATGTTCCTGTTCCTTTAAATAGCTAGAGACACATGTAGCATCTTTTGACACAGATACATTTCCATTAACAGAAATAGGCTCACGGGTGGTAGTGGTGGTAGCTGCCCATCAGAAGGAGTTTGGGACTCTGTGAAGGAGGAGGTGAGGTTTGCACATCTCCTTCCCCTGCCCGAAGGAGCTGGGACTGGAGGAGCCAAGGTGTGAATTCAGAATTACTTCACCCAGGAAACCTCTGTTCCACTGCCCCCCTCTGGCTTTTAATCCTTTTATCTACGTACTTTGCCAGGGTGTGTAATAATTGTGGGAGTCCTTGCAGCAGGGTGGCGTGAGAACAAAGCCAAAGCAGATAAATATACTGGAGAAGAGTCCACCCAAAGTCACGACACTCAGAGAGGTGACTGATACTGGCTCAGGAAATCCCTCAACTTGGGATTGCTGTAGTCAGGGAGCTTGTGCCTGGGAAGAGCACATCTCTTGGTGCTGGGGTTGGGATGAACCCTGGCCACCCCTTCAGTTTGCTGTGACAGCAGTCTGAAGTCCAAGCCCTGGCTCTGGCTTTGTCCTAAAGCCCTGTGTGGCCCCCTCTGCGGCCCCCTCTGCTACGGGAGGACGAGGTGGGGGGGATCCTGTGGCGGGACATTCCCTGGTAGCAGTGGGGTGGCGGGTGGCACCAATGAACCGCCCCTCGTGCCGTTTTCAGGTCCTTGTCACCTACAACGGGCAGGAGTGTGCCGGCCTCGTGGAGCAGCACAACCCACTGAGCGACAAGGTGAAGGTGCTGCTGCCGGAGCAGGGCTTGCAGGCGTGCTGGAGGATACAGGACGTGCGGCCGGCTCCGCTCCAGCCCCCCACCCTGCCTGCAGCCGGCAGTCCCGGCCCTGCTGAGGCGCTGCAGAGATCCGTATCCAGCAATATTGATGTACCCAAGAGGTTCGTGCCTTTGGCTGGTAGTATCTCACTCAGGTGGGAGAGGGGCACTTGGTGGCTAAGGCAGCGCTCACGCTTTGGTTTTACACTGACAGAGTGGTAATGCTGAGGATGTATCCGCCTTCCCAGTGCGGGTTTATCCAGAGGATGGTTAAATTTGGGATTAAGGGGATTTTTAATTTTTTTTGCCCACAAATGGTGAGAAAACATCGCTTCCCAGTGACTTAAAAATGAGTCAAAGTCTATGGAGGGAGGTGTTGGGGGTGAACCTGCGCTGCTGCTGCAGGTTGTACTGCTCTTTGTGTGCTCAGGTCATACCCAGGCTGTTTCTCTGCTTTTTCCTCCACACATTTCACATCTCTCCCCTCGCGGTGCAGGAAAGCCGACGCGGCTGTGGAGATGGATGAGATGGTGGCAGCCATGGTGCTGACAAGCCTCTCCTGCAGCCCTGTGGTACAGAGCCCTCCCGCCGGCGAGAGTGGCATCCCCCGTGAGTGTGCATTTAAATATATATATATATGAAAGAAAAAACATCTGAAACACAAGGAGACGTGGAGAAATGTGCTGCGCCCTTTGGCTCGCAGTGCTGGGGCTCTTGCTGGCCATATTCGTTCCTTATGCCTGGTGCTGAATAGCTGCCGGCACAGGGACTGCACTGGACTGGAGGTGGCCAGGGAGTCGCACCGGCGTCACGGTGGAGCCCACGGGTGCCGGCACCGGTTGGGGCTGAGCAAGCTGGGATGCCCCTGGCAGCACAGTGGGGGTAACCCTGCTCTCCGCAGCCGGCCCGGGGGGCCGGGGAGCCCCGCACAGGAGTCCCGGGCTGGGGAGCACCTCCCAGTCACTCCTTTTTTTAGAGGCGGTTTCATTCCCGAGGAGTCAAATGCAGCCAGAGCGATAAAAATAGCCGCCTGGAGCCGTGGGAAATGTGCGTGTCCCGGTGCTGGCTGCTCGCCGTGTGCCGGCTGTGCCTGTGAGCCTGTGGGATTGCACTGATGCCAGGGAGGATAGGGAGGGAAAAAAAGGATAAACGACCAATAACTGGGATCTGGTCCTGAGAAAAGGTGCAAAGGCTTCACCTTACCAAGTTTTTAAAAAAATAAATAAATAGAGGCAAACTGTTGTTGCGGGTTATCCAGCCTCAGGGCTGGTCTCTGCCCTGACGGGGGGGTTGGTTGGCCCCAAGTTGGTGGTGGCAGCACGTGTCCCCTCCCTGCAGCCTCACGGGCAGCGTGCGATCCCTGGAAAGAGAGCGGCGATGTCTCGGACAGCGGAAGCAGCACCACCAGCGGGCACTGGAGCGGGGGCAGCGACATCTCCACCCCTTCGCCTCCCCACCCCGCTGGCAGCCCCAAGTACTCCAGCGAGGCCCTGAGCTCCCCCCAGGCAGATGATGGCTTCGAGACCGACTCCGACCCCTTTCTCCTTGATGAACCCGCTCCACGCAAAAGAAAGGTACTGCTGCTGGGGGGGGGGTCCTAGCACCGGCAGGGTGCCTTGAGCTGAGCAGCGTCCCGTGGAGGGGACGCTGGCACTGGTCATGGGGTGACATGGGCCATCTCTCTGCCAGAACTCGGTGAAGGTGATGTACAAGTGCCTGTGGCCGAGCTGCGGCAAGGTCCTGCGCTCCATCGTCGGCATCAAGCGACACGTCAAGACCCAGCACCTCGGGTAAGGCAAAGGTTTCACCTCCTTGATCCCTGCCCAGCCACCGAAGCCACGCACGTAATTTGTAATTCCTGCAGCGAGTATCCCCAGTATGAGAGATACTGGCCTCTGTGCACTGAGCTTGGCAGTTCTCAGCCAAGCAGTCCATGTCACCGAAGCCACTGTTGTATGTGTCCCCACCTTTAGGGAGCCCAGGGCGTTCTGGGAGGCACGGGAACCCCATTTGGCCTTCAGGATTGCCTAGCCTGGGTGTGCGTTTTGCACCGGGGGAGTTCAGGTTACACGCGAGCCCTGGGCTCCCGGGCAGAGGCAGAAAAGGACCAGCCCAGCTGGGTTTTGCAAGGGCTGGTAACCTGAAAGCCATGCCTGCCGCTGCGGTGGCTGGCTCCAGCTCAGCCGTTGGGACTGGCACAGGCACTCACACGCCAGCCCAGCGGCGACTGCCCCTTTAGCAGTTTGTTTTGTACTGATCTGCAAATTCCCCCAAAACACAAAGCGGTGAGGGTGTAGCTTTGCTGTGCTCTCCTCCTGTGGCCCCATTGCACTCCTCGCCCCAATGTCAGTTTTCTCATGCTTTTGTCCACGTTTTCTGGTATGTATTTTTCTCCTCCTCCCTTGCAAACTTGATTGCTCCAGGAAGGGCGAGGACAGAAGGGCCGCGATGCAGTGGGCAGTGCTGGACTGCCATCCAGTGCCGGATAAATGCACTGGGAAAACAATAAAAAAGACTTCAGGGGCTGTTTCCTGCTGGGTAAACAGCAGGGCTTCATCCGCAGCTGTGCTAAATGAACTGGATCAGAAATGAGCAGGGGATTTTCAGTGGCGCCCAGTCAATGTGCCAGCATTTTTAAAGGCCTTGGAAGAGGTATTGATCTTCCTTGGAAGCGCGAAGTGCTGCTACAGAGGCAGTGGCTGTCACCGATCGCAGCTGACATGATGCTTTGGAGCCTGGGAGCGGAGTTGCTCTGCCCGGGAGGGTGAGATCACTCTCACCCGGGGAAGTCGGGGGCTGCTCACCTTGACGGAAACAGGGCCACCTTTTCACTGCTGTCTCCTTTTCCTCCCTGGCAGGGACAGCGCAGACTCCGACCAGCGGAAGCGGGAGGAGGATTTCTACTACACCGAAGTGCAGGTGAAGGAAGAGCCGGCGCCGGAGGCGGCCGCCGCCGCCAGCCCCACATCCGCGTCCGCCCCCATCATCATCCACCAGCAAGCCCTGGCAAAGCCGGAGGCGCTGCTGGTGGAGCAGCCGGTGCTGGAGCCCGCCCTGGCCAGCGGCGCCCTGAGCCAGTCTGCCCCCAGCTCCTTCTGGCACATCCAGGCTGATCATGCCTACCAGGTGAGCTGGTGGCATCTCCCAGGGATGGGTCACCTCCCGAAATATTGCCGAAGGGCGGGTCGTGATCTGGTTTGCTCCGCAAGTCCCCGCTGCGGCAGGGATGTTTCGTTGCCATACCTGCAGCACGGAGAGGCTTTGGTGCTGGTGTAGCACCATCCCCTGCCTGGCTGCCCTTCAGCCCTTGAGCAACCGGCTTCGTTAACACCTGGTTAAGGGGCTCGTGTGCTTCTGCCATGGCCGTTCCCGGGCTGGGGGGGAGCTGCCGCCCTCTGCTCCCCTACAATTACCCCGTGGTGGTATGCAACACGCCCTTCTGCCGGCAGATAACACGGGGCTGGAATGCAGCCGCGCCGGATCCTGCACGGATCCTGCACGTCTCCACTGCACGGCTCGCAGGGGCACCGGCTTTTGAGACGCAGGAAACCTGGGGACCTAGAGCAGTGGGCCCGTGGGCACCCTGGGCCAGTGGCCCTTGTCCCAGGGGTTGCTCGAGAGCCAAGCGCTGTTCTGGAGCTGCAAGCTAGTGCAGGGACAGGGTGTATAGATCCATAAGCTGCATGTATATCCATTCCCATCCCAGGGATCGGGTGCAACATCATCTAAAAGCAGAAAGCCTGTGCAAGGAGGTGCAAAAATATATACGTATAGACCAGGATGGTGCAGGTGGGTTTGGTATTGCAACCAAAAGCAGTTGCAGGAGCGAAGAAGCTGCTGTGCCCTGGTGAAGGGTGACGCAGCGCGTGTGCCGTGCCCTCTCTTAGCAGGATCCGGCGCTGGAGGAGAGGTTGCACGGGGGTTTCCATCCTGCCCCCAGCACTCCCAGTTTGCGTGTACTCCAGGCTGGGAGGTGGATGCCTGTGGAGTGAACGGGGGGCCCCCGGGGCTAATGCTGACCCCTCTTTTCCCCCACAGGCGTTGCCCTCCATCCAAATTCCAGTGTCCCCCCACATCTTCACCAGCATCAGCTGGGCCACTGCCACCTCGACTCTCCCGTCCCTGTCACCGGTGAGTCCTGCATGTGTATCCCCTTTATCCTTTTGGGGTGCAGGGTTGGGCTGGGAGCTAAGGGGACCTCGTCTCTGCTTTCTTGCTCCCCACTTTAAACATCTGGATTTGTGGGCTGGGGACACCCGTGTCTCGTACTGCCCAGGGGCTGCACGGGAGGGGGACCGCATTGTCCCGCCTGCCTTTTGACACCCGTTTCCCCGCAGGTGCGGAGCCGGTCGCTCAGTTTCAGCGAACCCCAGCCACCGACGCCGATGCTCAAGTCCCACCTGATCGTCGCCTCACCGCCCAGGGTGTCCATCGGCACCAGGTGAGGGTCCCGCCGGCCGGAGGGGAGCAGAGGTGGAGCCCGTCAGCAAAAAGGCTGCCCTCCTGCATCTCTGCTGAGATGCAGCGGAATGATGCCCGGCCATGGTTACGGAGCCTTACCTTTGTATTTGTGACCAAAGTTCTGCAACAAGTGGATAAACGTTTGTTTGTTTTGGTTTTTTTTCCTCTTCCACCTTTTGCAGAAAAGTCCGCGGTGAAGCCAAAAAGTGCCGTAAGGTGTACGGCATCGAGCACCGGGACCAGTGGTGCACGGCCTGCCGGTGGAAAAAAGCCTGCCAGCGCTTCCTGGACTGAGCGCAGCACCGCGGTGCCGCATCCCTCCCCTGCTCCTGCCCGGGGAGCACTGGAGTCCCTCACTGCTGCAACCAGGGACCTTGGAGGTACCTCCTGTGACCCCGGAAGACACCTCCAGAGCTGCGTGTAAATTCCTCCTTCTGTATATTGTACATCTGCTGGGTTTGCTCTTTTTTTAAAAAAAAGCTTTTTCCAACTTTTTTTTTTTTTAAAACCTGAAGAATATCTCCCTTTGTATAGTAAAAGCTGGGGCTGGGAGGGAAGGAAGCCAGTTCCTTGGGGTTCGGGGGAGATTGTAGGCAATCTGGGGACCAAAGAGCTTCCTGCATTTCCCAGATGAGCCCTAAAATCTCCTGAACCGTCGCAGCGTGGCTGGGGTGAGGTGTTGAGGCAGCTTCCCGTGTCCTTTGACTACCTAGAAAGTGCAAATCCCTTGTATCCCTTAAGGGAGGGGGTCGGTAACAATTATAGCTTTAAAAAAGAAAATGCTGTTGGGTTGCTGCAAGCAAGGCAGGAGTGGTTCTTGGGGCAGGAGTTGGAGGTTTCTCTCCCTGCATGGATGTGGTCTTTGCTCATGTCGTGTCACACCGATAGCTCAAGCCTGCCTGTGCCTCCGGTCGGTTCCAGCGTGTCGTTTTTGGAGGCATTTGGGGGGTAAAAAACACCCAAAACATTTTAATCAGGAAAGCTATGAGAATTTTTAAGGCAAAACCTTATGTTCCTTCTCATTTTAGGCTTTGTAAGTCTGCTTAGCTCTGTGAAAAATCTATGTTGTGGCCCTCACTGTGTCTTTCAAAACTAGGCAGAGCAGTTTTATTTTTTTCAGTTAATGATTCCACCAATAAAGGCAGCTGGGAGGACTGGGAAGGGTTTCCCTTAGCATCACCGTATGGCCCCAGTTCAGCAAAACGCTTCAATATTTCCTTCTGAATCCCATCGAACCTCGTGGGAGTTTTCTGACTTCCATCCTTTAAAATATGTATTTACCCAACCCAAATTGCTGCTGGCTTCCTGTCACTGTCACTGCTGTGACCACTTGCACTGCTGGTGAGGCGTTGCACTTGGTGTCGGGCCAGGATGCGTGTGGCCGGGGAGCCGGATTGCCCCATCGGCTTTCTCCCCTCGCTGGGGCAGGCAGCCATTTGGATATGTATTATTTTTTTTTTTTGCTGTGTTTTTGATAATCATAGGCTGTAACCTGCAGCTGTCGAGCCAAGAGCAATCCCTGCACACAGCTTGAGCCCGGGGTGTTTTTAAGGACCCCGCGCCGAGACTCAGCTTCCCTTATAAAAGCGAATTGTGTGGGTGGGAGAGTCCGATACTGCTCCCGGATCGCCCCATTGCTGAAGGGATCGGGTGGGCAGGTGAAGCGGGTTGAGATACATATATATGTATTACTGGTGCTTGTCGACGTGTTTGGGTATTTCTTTTGTTGTTGTTCGTTTGTAATTTTGTACATATAAACAGTATATCGTCCCGCAACCTGATCTTCTCTCCGGTATCCAACTGGCGGATGCAATATTTGGCTGCTGGAAGGCGGGAGCAAAACTCCTCGGGCAGAGTGCGACCCCACAGGGTTACATCCCCGGGTGGGTCTGGGCAGGTCTGGCTCAAGTCCCAGGGAAGAGGTTCTGTTCCTTGAGAGCTACTCACTCAGGTTCCCATCCCTGCTGGAGCGTGGTATTAGGAGCAAAATGTCAGGAAAAGCCTTTTCCTTTCCCGCCGTCATCAGGGACTCTCTGCGGGTTCCCAGCTTGAGCGTTTTGTTGCAAAAACGACTTTCCAAAGCGTGTTGCCAGTTGGTGCTCTGCATCCACAGCCCTGGTAACAATTAATTGCATGGTGGGGTTGTTGCACTACTCAAAAATAGGTGTTTGGTGTTTGTTTTTTTGATAGAAAAAGCCCCCATGCCTTTGCTGCTGTCTGACCCCCCAGTGTTTGAACAGCCAAGCCGGTGTTCTCTGTCCTGCATTGCCTTGTGGAACTCAGCCTGTCTGTCCTTTTGGGGAAGGGCCCTGCAATGCCGGGGTGCGGGCCGGATTTTGGTGATGCCGGTGGCTCTCCAGAAGCGAGCCAGTGGTTTGGGAAGTCCCACGCAGCACCTCGCTGCATTTTCATTTTTCAAATATTTTTTTAAAAATGGGGCTCAAAGCAGCGCCCAGAGCAAAGAAGGAAAAAAAAAATATGAAAAAGGGTGGATTTGTGCTTTCCTCAGACCTTGTGCCTTTGCCCCCACGACTCAGAGAGACCTGGCAGGACCAGAGATTTTACTTCTTGCTTTTTATGCCCTTTCTGCCCCAAAAGGCGTTGGGCAGAACCGGATCCGCACCGGCACTGGTCGGACACAGCTCGGCTCCCACGGCTCCCAGCTCAATCACTCAGGAAATGTCAAACCAAGCCATCCGGGGTCGGCATCGGGGCAGCACCACATAAAACATATAAAAAGGAAGAAAAGGTGTCAGTGGCTTTGAACAAGCAGGTGTGTGTGGTGTGCAGCATCCTTGGGTGAGACAGGGCGTGGGTGGGGGCTG